TTTCCCTTTTTCTCAGGATTATGTGGACATTGAACTATTTTTGGTGTCAAGAAAAGTTGAAGAATCTCTTTTAAGAGGAGAATCAGGACCTTGTTTAGCTTGGTGTTATGAAAATAAGTCCAAGCTAAGGAAGTTAAAGGCGTGTTTGTCAATTTTGTAGTTCAATTTCATTGTTATTGCAAATTTCATTTTGCTCTGTTTGGTCGACTGTGGTAATTTATAGTTTAAGTTATGAGTTTGAAACAAGGAAAATATTTAATTTGCATAAATTACATACAGTTGTTCATAAGGAATAGATACATGTTATACGGTACCTTCTGTATCCAAGCCAAAGTAACTAATGATTAAAATAGAATAAATTATATTGATGTGCAAATTGTAAGGCCCCCTGGAACTCATTCTTGCTATTTACCTTCTGCAAAGTGTGTTGGTAATATTATTACCAACACACTTTGTAGTTCTTCTTTAATTAGTTGTGTTATTGTTTTACTGCAGGTCTGAAAAGCTCGCTAAATTTTATTTTATGTATCGAAATTAACAAACAGCAAACATGCAGCCAACGAGCAAGGACACCAGTTTCCCTAGTTTATTTTTTTCAAAAAGCGAAGGCAAACAATGAGTCTGTTAGCTTAAGAGTAGCGCCACTAGCTTTTATGATAATGCCAACAAAAATTCCTTGAACAGCGATCATGCGATGGACAGTATTTTGATCTACACTCGTTTGTTGGTAAATCAAAAAGCACCTTGTTAGCGGTCGAAAACATGCACAGGGATTCAACCCCGCGTTACACTCACACTAGTTCCGTAAATAAAGAAGAAAAATTCTCAATTTGAATATGTAGTTTGCCGTATACGTGAAGCCTAAACCCTCTAACTTCAGTTTGTTTCCCGAGAATCTCAACGCCGAGGGAAACATTGAGATTCGAGGAGACCAAATGAACTGTTTCCCGAAGGACCAGTCTTAAGTGATTTGTTATATAGCTTAAGATTTCGAGGCTGAAAAATGATTAAACCTCGCCGTAACGGCGGTCGTCGGTGAACATTCGCGGGTTACAGTGCGCTGTTACCCTCTGACGTCATAGATTTTTGCAATGTTGCCAGACTCGTACCCAGTCGCTATTTAAGTGTTTTTTGGGATGAGAGAAGATTGGGGATTAGGTTGAGGCGTGCGCGGGCCCCGCATCTTGTTTCCCGCCAGATCTTGGCGGGAAACAGTTTGATTGTTAGATGTCATGTGACCTAAAGTAACCAATGAGCGGGCGCGCTGTTGGGAAAAGATTTGCAGTTATATAAAAATAGTAGATACTGAGAGTTCTTACAAACATCCTTGAAGGGGTGTGGTTCATCATTGAGGGCCTTGCCTATTCTTACTCAGTGTGGCTGGGGATGTTTCTTTTATTTCATTTACAGGCGTTGCATAGGATGGCAAGTGAGAATGATGGCCACGTCATATGCCCGAAAACCAAAGAGTCCTTCCGAGTTGATCAAGCTGAGAAAGTATATGTTATGTAGGAATTAAGATCAGTAAGCTCTATGAATTGAGAAATATAATGCTCCTTGAACGGCTAGCACTTGACCTTTGTTCATACAGTACATATGTTTTTTTTTTTTTTTTTGCAACGGATATTACTGCGTCGCTATATTTGAGGAGCTAGAGTGCAGAATTCACAGGCAGCCTGAAGTTTGGCAGTTTCGTTAACAATGAGCCCAAAAACAAAATTGCAACATTAAATTTAGAAAAACAAAATTAGTCTTTTATACCTGGAGTCACAGAGGGTTTTTTCATTTTCTAAATCACGCAAAGATGGAACGACGAAGCCACGAGCCTTGTAACCCTGGACTCGGTTTCTTATTTGCAGCCAGGGAAAGTAGTTATTGAATTAAAAACAACAACAACAGCAACAACAATACCCCTCTTTACAAAGAAATATATTGCGGCTGTTGCAGCTCGCTGACCCAACGTTTCACTTTTTAACACTATAGAACTTCTTCTATTAATTGTTAATTCATAATGTCGAATTTTTATGTGCACTACTTGTTTCATTTTACTCGGTGCTTGAAAATTTAACTTGCGTGGTAGGCGCTCGAAAGGCGAGGGAGGCGGAGATAGGAATTTGGGCACCCCAGAACGGCGGCGAATGCCCTTGCGAGCCCGATTTTCTTCCATTCTCCCTCCAGTCACGTTCGAACGCTTGTTGTGCAGGCTATAAATACTAGTGCTTCTTGTGTTGTTCCTTTACCACAGGCCCAGACTCTCTGGGAGTTCGTTAGACTTTGAATTTATAAGAAAATGTATGAAAATAAACAAAATACGTCCTTAAGTCCTTTTTTTTACAAAAATAGAAATGAAAATGACTTACCTTGTGTTTGTGTTGAGTTTTTTACTGTCTGTTCGCTTCTAGAGCTATTTGGAAGCTGTTTTATCGACGTTTTAGAATTTGAGTTTTGCTACCAATAAGAAGTTAGTAGCAGTTGTTTAGCTCAGCAGTTGTCATTCGTCGAGCTCTATTTTTTGCTATTTTTGCTTTGTTCTCCGGCAGTTGGTTATTTCTTCGTCGCAAAACGTGCGAAATATTGGATATCCTGGATATTAAAAACGTCTTCCAAATTAGTTCCACGTCTGCTGGTTATGAAGAATAGACCTATTCGGCTAACTAAAATGTTGTACCCAATTCAAAGCCTTTGGGGATAAAACGTTTTGTTTCAGGAATTTCCATATCATTTGAATGTGAATGCAACATTATCATGCAAATACAGTACACAAAGAATCTTAACCCCGGGAGATTTGAATTGGGTAAAACATTGAGTTAGCCGAATAGGTCTATTAGCTGTGGAATTTAAGCCAATCAGAAACGGAGAAATATTTTGAGTAAATAATAATTGAGGCTGCGCAAACTGTTGAGGAACGCTTTGGTGGATGTTATATTGTTGTAGCCGGTTGCACATTGGCCACAGTTTTGAATACCCTGATAATTTGACAACAACCGACTTTTCTTCTATTTTATTAAACTGAAGGCAGGAAGCTACTGATTTAACAGGATACTTTTATAATAGCTTAAGCGATAAAGGGCCCTATAACTGAGTGAACTTCAGTAACATTGCTGTATTAATTTGTGTAGTAAAACAACAAATGTTCACTTGTGCTGTTCGATATACCTCAGCCATGTAACCGATGGCAACGGCGCTACAGTTGGAGCTATTCTCTTTGACTATAAAAAAGCGTTTGACCTTATAGATCATAGAATACTCGTAGAGAAATTGTGCAGGTTGAATCTGCCTACAAGAATTATCAATTGGATCATAGATTTCGTTTCTAATCGTTCCCAAAGAATCAAACTATCTGAGGGCTGTTAATCAGAGTGGGGTTCAGTGCCCTCCGGGGTCCCTCAGAGAATAAAATTAGGTCCATGGCTGTTTCTTGTACTTATAAATGACTTAGATGTTAATGATTTAGCTAATGTATGGAAGTACTGTACAGTACCGCAAATGATCCCCAGCCGCAAATGATCCCGAGACCGCAAATGATCCCCAAAATGAACTGCAAATGATCCTCGACCGCAAGTGATCCCAGGATATCGCAGATAAGGTCGCGGAGTGGTCTATGCAGAATAGAGTCAAACTCAATAGCGGAAAGTGTAAGGAGCTCAGAATATCTTTTGTAAAAAATGAGCCCCGGTTTGCGCCTATTGTAGTAGATGGTAAAGAACTAGAGAGAGTGACTAGTGCGAAACTACTAAGTCTGACCATATCGAGCAACCTTACGTGGAACGAACATATTAGTGACGTAATCAAGAAAGCGTCAAAGCGTCTGTATTTTTTAGTGCAGTTAAAAAGATCAAGAGTTCCTCGGCATGATATGTCCACCTTTTACACTGCTTGTATACGCCCTGTTCTTACGTACGCAGCACCTGCCTTTTTTTACGCCCAGGACTGCCCTACCAGGAGACAATCGAACTAGTGAACATTGTCCCTGTTGTAGGTTTCATCACGGGGCTATGTAGTAATACTTTCGACACCATTACAAAAGACCCAGAACACCGTCTAAACAGGTTAATACAATTTAGTGGACCATCACGTTATGCCCTAAGGTGCAACAGGCGCTTCATCGTACTTAAATGCAAGACAGATCGTTTTAGGAACAGTTTTATTATTAGATCCTGCATCGATTATATATATACGTAGATTTTTAGTCCTTTTATCATATTTTTATACTTTTATATTTACTGTAATTAGTTTTATATACACATTTTATCAGTTCAATCATTTGTAAATACGCAATTCAGCCTTCGGGCTGTAATGTATTGGTTATTTAACTATCTACCTATCTATCTATCTATCTATCTATCTATCTATCTAGCAATTTATCTATCTGCCTTTAATCCACCTCCATCAAATTGAGGATTCTTGCAAATGTTTCAGATTAGTGACCTGATTTAGAAAATCAAAATATGGATAGTCAAACCTCGTTAATACGGACACTGAAGGAGCCATAGAAAGTGTCCTTATTAACGGGTGTCCGTATTAAGCGGGTTGAATTTAGAGAAAATGTAAGGGCTCTCCCCAGGGAAAAGGAAAACTGTCTGTAATAACCTGGTGTCCGTAAAGTGAGCGGAGTAAGTGGGCGTCCGTAAAGCGGGGTCGACCGTACTTACAACAATGGAATTCAAAATCCACCGACACATTTCTATCATTGCGCAATAAGATGATAAAACTGAATGTTCTAAGAACTGCCTTACATACACATGTTATAAACTGTTATGATTGTCTGTGGTGAAGGGTAAGACGAGTAAAGAATTGTGATTCCCAGTTGTAATCGTAAGAACGAAAAGGTACTTTCCTCTAGATCTGGCTTGACGGTATGCGATCTTATTTTCGTGATTTATCGTGATAAAGTCTGTAACATTTACCAGTTATTATATGCAGTTCACTGTACATGTAAGGGAGATGAGACGAGAGTTTGTCCTAGCCAGTTGGATTTCTGCTCTCAAACGGACACATTTTCAAACGGTCGAGGCCGTTTCGTGTAAATCTTTATCCTCATTTGATGTTGTGACTTGGGAAGTACCGACCCTACAGCTTGTGCGCGTACAGCAAGGAAACTGCAACAAAGCTATCATGTGCTTTCGAAAACGATCGCTCTGCAAGCTATACAGCACTGGGTTTATAGCGGAGTTGAGTGTTACAAAAACTATACTTGTGGTGTGTACAGAGGAATATATCTGTAGGCTCGTAAACGAAGATATCACATAAATAGCCAACACTGGGATCCAACAAACGGAGTAAATCACACTGACTGTTACAACCAGCCGTGCAGATTTCTTGCAGTATCTCAGCTTGTTCTGTTGTGCAATTGTTGAGCAGGAAATGGGACGAAACCATAGTTTGTAAACCAGCTTAGAATACAGGTAAATCATGACGGTGATTGGCAGGGCACCGTATACCACAGCACATGCGGGACTGTGAAACTTCGAAAAGTTAGCACTTGAACAGTGGAATAAGCAGAATTCACTGACAGGGTCGTATCTCGCGTAAAGAAACAGTGGCATGTTCCAGGATGCTGCCATCACCCACAAGACTACGACAATGATCTTGAGTTTGGCAGTTGTGATCCTTTTTCGCTGGTCATATGGAAATTTGCTGGCAAGGTATCGTTCTAAAGCGATGCAAACGAGAGAGAAGGCCGAAGCAAGCGCGCCAACCCACATAAAAGCTTCACCTGTCAGAAGCTGGCAAACAAAGTCACCTATTTCTCCCTTTGGGTGGACAAATACCAAGGTGAAGATGTAGCGAATTGCGATGAAGACTGCCACAGTCATATCAGCAACAGCTAAATTGACGAGGAGAAAATTCATTGGAGTGCGCATCATTCTGTATTGAGAAGAAATTTCAATAAAACTTATTTTAGCAACAAGTACATTGGTTAAAAACAGAACGTAGTTAAGGTTAGGCAAATCTTAGAAGGCAATTTATAATTAAAACACAGACTTCGGATCAAATGTCGTTCCTTAGAGGCGCCCACAAGGCTACAACTTACAACGCTTTTTCATTTCACAGTACAAATTTCAGGTGGCTCTGAATCCTTTTAACAGAAATGTTTTGAACTTTTTGTTTTGTTTTGTTTTTGTTTTAAACTTAAACATTTTGAACGCCGTGAAAGGTCTGTTGAACTTTACCGCTTCTTACGGTTTGTACGCGTAAGGATACAACTTGTTTACGAGATTAATTAACTCAGTACAGCTTTCAAAAAATCAGGAGGATTAGTTCAGTCGGTAGAGTGCTTGACTGCAGAGCGGGAGGTCGCGAGTTCGTCCTGGGGTCGGAACAGTTATCATAACTGAGAAATGAAAGTACTCCCTTTGCACTGCGAACCGCTAGACCTTCGCATGTACTCCACCTTGAAGAAATTACGAAATACATATACGCTGTACCGTTCGCGATAGAATTAGGTCATAAAGGACTCTTAAAGCAGCACCAATATTAGGCCATATTACAAAAAAATGTGAAGAACCAAGATGGCGGCCTCAAAATGCCCCTATTTGACCTTTAGCAATGCCTTTAGTATGTTAAATCTCATTTGTTTCTAGTATCACTTATGGGCTATAGTACGTTCAACACCGTGTAACGCACATACAAACCACACAAAGCGAGAAAACCCTCAAAGGTCCTCAAAGCCACAAAGACCTTTTGACATGTACATGTCTTATTCGTGATTTTAAGTGTAGCTACTATTCAATGGTCGACAAAATAAGACGAGTCTTTGGAACATTAACGACGTGTAAAAATTGCGTTTATCAGTTTTTTTCACAAAAGGAGAAATTTCCATAATTCTCCTCCCTTCGTTTTCTTTGCACTAGAATGAATCAATAAAAAGCACCTAACACTCTTTAAATCTCACGAAATTTTGTGGCTAATATCATTGACCCGACAATTTCAAGTCAGAACTGAAAACGCGATTCTTCAGTTTTATTATGAAAGGAGCCGTGTCCCTCGAAAAAACCCAAAGCCAATGAGAACAGTACTCAGTTACGATGCTGCGGCAGAAATATCTGATCATCTACTGAGAAAGAAAGAGTATTATTATCTTACCAGTTGCGGAACACAACTAAACAGACCAGGCTGTTACCAAACAGATCAGCAATGACAAGGAAGGCAAATGCTGCTGTGATTCCGATCTGTGCGGCTTCAGAGTACTTATACAGCGTCATCTAAATGGCCTCTGCGTAACTGACCAAAGTACATAGATGTTATGAAAAGGGCCCTAACTTTAATTTCTACTTCTGTGAAAAGGCTCCTTAATCGGAACTAAAGCTATCACTGATCGCTAAAAGATAGACAGATTGATCATAAAACGTAAAAAAAAAAATAGACACTTCTGAACGATTTACAATATTTTGGCTGGCCAAACTAACCATTTTTGTTTTCTTTAAGTGTAAGCTGTTACCAAACACAACAAGACGCTGTGGGAGAGTATATTTGGGCGTGGTCGTATTAGGGCTATGATACTTTGAACATGCCTTATTGCAGCTAAAGAACTGTCATTATATCTTACCAGAGAAGACAAATCCTTTACTCCCCTTGTTAGCTGAACCACAGAGCTTATACAGTATGTCCCAATCCACAACAAAAATAGTGTCATTTCATGACAATGTTTGAAAATATGCACATCTTCAATGAAGACATGCTTGGAGCCAAATTGCAACATAGGACATAAGTGGTTACAGCCTGGAGAGTAAGGTTTATCTCAGCTCCACTGATACTGACAGATTTTTGTAGCATCTACATAAACTGAAGGTCCTGGATTCTTCTCTATATCGGTACAAAGCTTAGCCAAAATTAACCCCGTGATTCAAACTGTTGTAAGCACTATAAAATGGATAATTGCATGTACAGAGGAGCAAATTCTTACTTTAACCTCTAGTTGGATTTTACTAAAACAGATTATCATGTATAGTAGTAATACTTTGATTTTATAGAGAGCAACATATTAAAAGTACTTTTTTTTGCATGAGGAACTGAGAAAGCAGTTTCCGCGGTTGCTGTTGGTTGTCAGGTAAATGAAACACAAGTGATCAATTTCAATTCCCTCCCTTTTCTTGGAATGCTATGCACGTCATTACCTCTGCGTGAAATTTTTTTTGGTGTCACCGCGTGCAGGATTTTTTTTCGGATAAGTTTCCCTTGCCGGAATTTTTTTGGGGAATTGTCACCCCATTGTACCTCCAGTTAATTCCAATGGTCAGCCCCTAACTTCGGCATATTCTTTCCAGCTCAGGTGTTCTCTCTTTGTTTATTCATATCCCATAATACAGAACAGTTTAGGTATGACGTGACTTCAACTACATAAGACCTAATCCTGGAGGCTGGGGTGATGGCTTACTCGCGGTTTCTGTTAGCGACATTACGTTCAACAGGGGAGGGAGGGGAGGTAGGAGCTGATAAGGCACGAGGGGGAAGTGAGAGGTGAAGGTAAAGGGGTGCAAGGCGTGTTAAGTAATATGATATCATGTTTTCATATTACCACAATATTTTACGTCCGTTTTTGATGCACAAACTATAATCAAACTCCCGTGCAGAAAATAAATGACACTGCTCAAGCTGATGAAACCTTAACTGCATTTAACTGATGTTTCATTGGTGGCATAAGATAGATACCAATTTCCCGACCAAAAAAAATTAGATCGAGGCCAGATATGCCGGGATGGCGTCCTAACCGTGAAGTCGTAGAGATGGCCCGTGGAAAAAAACCACAAGAATAGTAAGCGTTCTCCTTCGTCGAACGCAATATTGTTGCCAACAAGATTGCTCGTCAGGTTATGCAGAAAAATGGTTCAGGAACAGTATCAGGATTCAGTTCACTGGATCCATATACTACTCATTACCCCGCGGGGGGGAGGGGGTACTTCCTTATAAGAGGCTAATGGGGATGTGCCGCTGGATGGGGTTGCATTCACTTAACGACTGGATTCACTATAAAGAGGTCGCATTTTCAGTAGTTACTAGAATAGGGTCGCACATTTTTTGATTTTTGGGGTAAGACAGTTCTTCATATTTACGGTTAGCAAACGTACCAGAATGTTTGTACTGTAGGTGAAAAGCAATTAAAAGTGTTCTTCATTCAATGTAAGGTCGATACATAAATAGAAAGTGACTAAGCTAGGGTCGCGAAAATTTACATAAAGGGGAAAACGAGTTTAAAACACCCTCCCCAGTATCAATCGCTGTTATCATACTCGCGCCAGACCTTTCGCTCGAAGAGCCGCGCGTACGTGTATTGGTACGACCAACTTAAAACTTAGAGAGTTGGTTATTTAAACGAAGTCTAACTTAGAGTGCTGTTTAAGAAATCCCCCCCCAGCGCCTGCCTTCTTTTCTGGGCTTCTTGTACACCTTTTCTGACTTGGCTTTTATACACAATATTTGGCATAATTTTCATCTATATTCCGAAAAAAGCGCTGTTAGCATAATTTGCACTTTTGGCTAGTTTTGCAGCACAAAATTATCGTTTATTGATCATACAACAAATTTTTTTGGTCCGTGATCAGTGCTACAGGCAAATTTAAGTAACAAAATCAATTTTTTTGTCTGCTTATCAGTATTGCCACATTCACGCAGGGACCTGGGTCCCACGGGAAGTGACCCAGGACTTTTCCCGGGACTCTTTCCACAGGACACAATGCATGCGCATAACTAGCTCGGTTACCCAAAATGGCGTCCCCGTGCAGGTTATTGTTTGACTTTTAATAGTTGTCATACAATGAATTATGCACTCTTAAAGTTTCTAGATGTTAATAGATGTAGATGTTGTTTGCGACATAGTTATTGAGGTGTGTTTTCGAAATTTAAAGTAAAAAGTAGAATCATAATTTTTTGATAAAATGAGCATAATTTACAAAAACTAACATAATTATTGGCATAATTTTAGAAATATACGAACACTGCTAGTAACATATTAAGCTACTTTGGCGAGCAAAATCTATCAAAGCGTATTTCTGACCTTTCTGTGATATTTCCTATGTTTCCCATTTGCAAAGAAACTGAAGGAGCTATTTCAGTCCAAACTGTATGTATGTGTAAATAAACATCAGGTGCAGTTACAGGGGACACTCAGTTTACCGTGGTAAATAACCCTTTTACCGTGGAAAATTGGTGTAGTGCGTGTCACCGCACTATCCCGAGATAAATTTACCATGGGAAATGTCCAAGGATCCGTCAAAAAGAAGAAAGAAACCGCCCATGACATTTAACGAGGTAAATAGCTGGGGTGTTTCGATACCCAAGGCACAAGAACTCCAACATGAAACTGCAATAAACTGCAATTGCGTGCGTTTGGCTGTAGCTTATGACACCAAGAAAGTAGGAATTAAAACATTGACAAAATAAACGATGTTTCTGGAAGAAAAAATAAATACCCATTCGATGACGGAGGCGGCTTAAACATGTCTAAGGAAAACAAAAACTCAATGGGTGCGTTCGATGGGAAATCTGGATTTAGGTTTTAAAATCCGGATTTCCGGATTTACAATCCAACGCAAAATCCGAAAACGGGTTTCAAAGCTAAGACGGATATCTCTTCTTGGATTTCCTTTCTTTCCGTTTTTTTGGGAAATCCAAAAAAGGATTTGAAAAACTGTTCTTAAGAACAGCGGTCTGGCACGCGCACGCATAATTAGCAAAAAGAAGACAAAAAAAAAGACATTCACCGCCGTACACAAAGACGGAATCGACGATTTTCACGAACACCTTAACAGACAGAACGCGGACATACAGTTCACCAAGGAGATCGAAGAAAATGGTAAGATGCCTTTTCTAGACTCCTTGGTCACTCGCGACAACAAACTAAAAACGACTATTTACAGAAAACCGACAC